ACTTATCCTCATACCTGTGGTAAATATGAAGCAAGTTAACACACGTAAAGCACCTAGATCATTGCCTAGTACAGTCATTACTTTTAAGATATTAGCAATTATTACCTGTTTCACAGTTGAGGATACTTCCAACATCATATGGCTAGTGGTATGCTGAGGTCTACATCCAGATTTCCTGAATCTAAACTCCATGCCTTCTGTGACACCACTACTACCCAAGCACTCTCCTACCTATAATAAAAACCAGTAGTAGGCCAATCAATGATACAGGAAGTACTTTATTTATCAGGTGACACCACGTAACAGCTGTATTTACAGTTGCCTAACTGCGGCCTAGATTTCAACAGGGAAGACGGCTCAGAGCTAGCAGTGTCAGTGATTCCAGTACAGGTATTGACCTTTATTTGGTAAAGGAAAATTTTGGTGATTGAGTTACCAGAGTCTTAAAATATAATTTTATATTAAGAATTCTTGTTTTCCCAAAAGTACTGTTTTGAACCAAATATAAGCTAGGTATAGTTTATTCACATAATGAAACTGCATTTGAACACAGCTTAAAATTTTCCCCATCTCAGTCAATTTTTCTCTTCTCAGCATTACAAATGTCTCATTCCATTATCATGCCAAATTCCTCAGCATCTTCCATACCACTTCCAGAAGCATCCCCGGGAGGCAAGGAATGCCTGTCTTCCCTCAGAAAGACACTGATAACCTGGAATTTTTACCACCTTCTCCAGATATTCCCACAACTTACACCTGCTCTCTTGAGATATGCTTTACAGCACAGCAGAAAGAACACACCACTAAGACTCTGAAAACCTAAATTCTGGGCCTCACTATGTCATAAACTACAGAACAATCTTAAATAGGTCATGAAACCTCCCCAGGCGTCTCAACTGCAAAAAAATAAGTCGAATTTGTTTAGTCCTTTATTATCTTACGTATCTTCACAGTAACCCTTCGATTTCATAAGACAGCACTATATTCATGTTATAAAGGTAATTAAATCTCAAAGAGGTTATACAATCTGCCCCAAATTCCACAGGTGGTAATAATGACTGAGCTAAACACACACACTCACAATTTCGCTCAGGACCCCAGTGCTGGTACCACTGAGCTCCTACGTTTGTTAAACGGATGAAGCAGCAAGCTCCCAGGTCTCGCCCAGTGATCACATTTCATGCTTCTACTTGCTATTTTTTTTAATCTCTTCTTCCAGCCAGCATTTAAATTAGAACACACAGATATATTTGATCACCAAATTCAATTTACCATGGTTCTCTGATTTAACCACTCTTTAAAAGTTTCTTGTTTTTCTACATTAAGTCCAGAGAAAAGTAATTTTTTTCAGATAGTTCTCACTTTGGCTTCCCTCTCTGAAAGCTTTCAGACTTACCTGTTTGCTTGGCAAAGCAGAGATTGCTATAGTTTTATAAATACCAGTTCTTTTTTTATACTGCAAAGTTACTCCACATGTAAAACCCACTCAAAACAAAGTAAGTCCTCACTAATTCTTATTCCCTGGAGCAGTAATAAACATATATTTTCTACTGATTTTGTATCCAGTCTCCTGCCTGCCTTTATTCAGGCAATACTGTTATTCGACCTCACTGTCAAGTCTCCCTTTCTCTAACAAAATTATGTCAGTCTTAAGAGTCAGGAAAACTCTCACTTTCACTATTCCATAGGAAGAATAAACTAACCACCTAAATTGGAAGGTAAAGCTATGAATGTTAAATGAGGGATTTGGGACATGTCCTAAGAGGCCATATGACTTAAAAGCTGATGATATGATATGTGTAAAATGCTATAACTTTTATTTATGCTAATTTTATACACGTGCTGATTAGTCATGCTGATATTACACATGAACATATGCCTAAACCAAATCAAAGTTTAAAAGAGGACAAAATTCATTCTACAAGCAATCCTGAAAATTCAGCAGAATTCAATAAATAGCATGCTCTCACAAGGAGGGAGCTTTACACATTCAGTAATTTATATAATTTAACATGCTAAAATGAGAAAATAAACAGGGCGTGGGGATATGGGGTACAGATAGGAAAAGTAATGTCAAGATTTTCTTCATTTTGATCCTATTGCTTTCTTGCCTTCAGGAGGGAAGATTTTTACTTCAAAAGTAACAAAATATTTGAGAAGAGAATTTACATCTTGCTGTTCTAGATGGTATTCTTTGGCTATTTTCTCAGCAGTCCATGTGTCTGGATAAAGTTTATGATTATTGAGAAGTGTCAATGCCTCTACAACGGAAATTTTGCCTTTGGGAATGTTCTGAACATCCATCATGCCCAAGTGATGGTCTCTCGGCAACCTGAACTCCTTTGGCTCCTGATGTGTCCCAGCATCTCTGACCTACAATCAAAAAACAAAAACCAAAACATAGGCTTTCAAGATGACAGCAAAGATCTGATACCCACTTTTATGCTTCTCGAAACTACACTATCCTTCAAATAAATACTACATGTGTTTTTCAGACTATCTCTTCTCATTACAATGAGCCATAGTTAGATGGCACTTTTGCCACATTGCCATTTCATAACTACAGCTCAATTGTTAAGAAATTTAGGTAGTTCTAGAAAACACTAATCAAATGGATACCATCTACTCACCACATTATTTCATGTGTATTAAGAGAACAAAGAATTGATTTCTGTTTCCTAGTTTGGTATTTCTTATCAGTGCCTCCAAACACCTTGAATGAATTCAAATGTTGCTAGAGATCTTGCCTCTTCAGAGAAAATAAACTAATGCCTCCAAGACCCCAACAAATATAAATAAAACCACCTACCCACACCCATCTTTCCAAATGTCTGTCCCAACCAAGATTAATTCTTGCATTTGTGCTCTGTATTCCCTTCTTTTATCAGCTGCACTGACCATCCCCCTTTACTTTTCCTTTCAAATGCACCCTGCCTACTACTGCTGTTTGGTCAAAATATAAAAATGCTATAATCACCATCTTTTTAAACACCCCCCAAACCCAAAACTTCTTTTATAACCAGTTTCCTTCTTCTCAGTTCAACTTTAAAAGATAATGATACTTGTGATCTAAAATCCAGAGGATTAGATCTTAATCCAGAGGACACTTTTCAGACTTCATCCTGACTCACGACAGCACGTGGCACTTCTGACCACTCCCACGTACCCACAACCATCTATCCCTTGGTTTCCACACCACCCCTCTCCTAGTCTTCCATCTGTCTCTGCAGTGGTTCCTTCTCTGGACTATGTCCCTTCAGCTACCCCTTAAATGTTACTGTGCCCCAAGATCTGGCCCAGGTTCTCTTCTTACTCTACGCATTCTTCCCAAGCAATCCTATACACCCCTTCACTATTATTACCTACAGTTAATCTGACCTCAAACCTAGACCTTTCTCCTGACTTCCAGATCCAAATTCACAAATGCCTAATGGCATCCTTACTTGGATAACCTACAAGCACCTCAAAATCAGCATGTCTAAAACTGAACTTATCCCTTTCCCCTGAAAATCCAGTTCTATCCCCAAACTCTCTAGCTCGGTGGCCAACACCACCCACCTCCCATATCCCACTCCAAAACTCAAAGCTTCTCTTATGTTAATACCTGACATTTCCCTCTCCCTCATTCATTACTGCCAAACAATGACCAAATTCTGTTGATACTCCCTCCTAAGTCCCTCTCAAACCCGATCATTTCTCTCCCAGTCACTAAGTCACCCTTGTCCAAGATAATATCTCCTGCAGGAACGACTGCAAAAGACTCCTAACTGGTCTCCTCTAACTGGATAAAATGCATTTCAATCCTCCCAGTCTACTCTCAAAACTGCCCCCAGAATGAAGCAAATCTCACGTCACTTTTCGACAGGAAACTCTTCAATGACATTTCATTGCCCTCAGGTTAAAACCCCAATTCTTTAGTAAGACAAGTAAGGATCTTCATGATCTGGCCCCTATTACTTCCTGTGCCACCTCATTTCTCCCAAATTTATCCTTCACACATTCCCCTAACTGTGCTGAACTCTGTTCTCCAAAGGCATCACACACTCTTCTACATTTATATTGTAACTCTGGCGTGAAACACTCCTGACAATCTCTCCACTTTCCAAAACTCAAAGCTTCTCTTATCTTCCTATTCCCAGGTAGATCTTCCTTCCACTCCATACAAACTTTTATTCAGATTCTGCTTCTGATTAATATTAAATACTAAAATTAATACTGACACTGAAAAAAAACTGATAAAATTCAAAAGCCTCTTTTAATTAAAGAAAAAACCCTCTTAGCAAATTGAAAATAGAAGAAAATGTCCCAAATGTGATAAAAGTATTTTTAATCAGAAACCATATCATTTAATCAAACCATATAATTCTGAAACATTAGAGGCAGACCATGTGAGGAAAAAACTGGATAGAATACTAACTTTCACTGCTATTTAACACTAAGACAATATGGTAAGAGCAGAATTAAGTATAAACAATAAAAGGGAAGAGAAAATTGTAATTCTATGCCAATAATGTGAGAAAATCTTCAGAAAAATAAGAGAATCAACTGAAAAACTAACAGAAACGATAATCTAGCTAAGTGGGAATCTGCAGTACAAAAATCACTCACTTTCTGACACATTAGCTAGTGATAAATATTTTAAAAACTCAGAGTGAAAAGAGATCCCATAGTAACAACCTTCCCTCTATCTCCCAAAGATTCAGTAATATAAAGATGTTAGTTCTCCTCAATTAATCTATAAATTCCAATTCAATTACACTCAAAATCCAAATAGGACATATGAAAGAACCTCTTCAAGTTCACCTGGGAAAAAATGCACAGTGAGTGAGAGTCAAGAAACTTCTGAAAAGAAACAAAGAAGATCACAGCAAATATCAAGACACATCATAAACGTTTATTAATTGTAATAGTATGATTTTACTGTAGAATCAGAAAAATAAATAGAACTGAAGAATCCATAAACAGACCAATTAGTGTATTTATTAGCACGGTAAATGACTGGTAAAATGACTGGGTTATTCAATAAATTATATTTAGACAACTGACCATCCAGTTGAAAGGACCTTCATACAGCAAACACTTTATTTAATGCAAAATACATATTTTAACATAAAAATACAGTCTTAAAAGTATTTAAAAAAACACAGAAGACTGCTTTTAGGTATACCATAAAGGACAAAAAGATTAATATATTTCACAGAATTTTGAACAGAAATAAATGGTTAGAAAAAATAAA